GACATACACACGAAGACATCGACCAGGTAGTAGAATAATATGATTATTCCCGACGTACATGTATATGATTCACAAGATTCATAATCAAAACGCTAAATCACTTGTTTGCACACAGATGTTTAGCAGGATTTCAGTGGCTCTGAATAAAAGCAAAGCAGTCACAAGACCACAATTAGAGGGGGTTATTCAGGGAGCGTTCACTCCTAGTCCAACGACAGTTTTCGTAGAAAATGTCTACGATGTCAAGTCTTGGATTCGCCCTTACATTGCAACTTTCAAAAATCACAGTCATCCCCATGCATTCCGGTTCAAACTAAATGAACTAGGACAGGTGGAAATGACTTATAGAGACTGGGCGAATTCGAAAGCAAAGGAGTGGCTTCCCCAGCCCCCTCATATCAGCCTGCGAACTCTACCGAAGGGAAACCCGGCAATATTAAAACCAGATTTAGCGAAATGCCCTACGGTAGAGAGAATGAGAGAGGCTGTTGGAAAGGTCTGTATATTCTACAATAAACTCAATACATTTAGTTGAAGAATTTGACTTTTTGATTTTATCCCGGCAGATGAAGCCACGCATGACCGGAGAAGAGATAGGGTGGTGGGAAAGGACAATAGAAGAAGAGCAAGCAAAGATAAAACAGTGGAATGAACTAAGCGACTGCCAGTATAAGGAAGCAGGAAAGGCATTCGACTTGTTGTCCTTTCGCTATCACCCACCCGACCCAGATCCAGAAACGTATGACGAAGAATATGAAAAACGGAGAGAAATGCTTCAGAAGCAGATCGATAAGAGAAACACCTTCAAACCAGTAAATAAAACTATTTATGGTTATTTTCCTTACTTCACTGTGATTAATGTACAGATGAAATATCTTTTTCTCAGGTTTTATTGGTCAAGAAGGCAAAGTAGCTGCGCTGCATTGTACTCAAAAGACTCTACTCAAGACTTTCACCATAACGCAAGTATAAGCAAAAATCGATCGAGAACTCCTATTTCTTGAGTTAAGGTGGTAGAAATGGCTCCCGGTCGAAAAAAAACTTCGTTATTTTTTTACATCAATCGATAGATTATAGGTTAAAGATGACCAATATTCATAAAAACAGTCCATTTTTTTCGAGGAACTACTATAAAAAGGCACGGATTTCTTGTAACTACGATGGGAAATTTCAATCGTCGCCTTGAAATCTGAGAAAAATCTCACATAGATTACGAAGGATTTTGAAAGGAAAATCAATAGAAAATCGATATAAATTCGTACTACATGACGTAATAAGATTTAAGAAACAATATGGCGACGGGATATTGCGTTTGAATGAAAACTCAAAGAGTTATTAAGCGTTTTCTGCCAAAAATGGTACTTTTAATGACATTTTATTCATTATATTGCTTTCTATTAACAATATTGCCATCAAATTTGGCTGAAAGTTGTATTATCTTTCCAGAATTAAACTCNAAATTGCATTTTTCCCAATATTGTTCTGATCTTATTTTTATGATTTTTTTTTATGATCACCTATTACATGCTTTTGTAAATAAATAACTTATCTACTGTGTTAATAAAATGCTCAAAATACAGCTGACCATCTTGCAAAAGCAGCTCTCACAATCTCCGAGTTATGTTGCCATTGGCAGCTTGATTTGATGTTTTGGTGGTCTCCCGGCGAAATGCGAAATCATCAAGATCAGACCATTAGTGGCAACATTGATTGTGTAAACAAATGTTTCGACGTTCAAGCACACTGTAGATGGTTTAAGCGATCCTGCACATAGAGTTGCGTTTAAGACAAAACTGTGCCCTAAACAACAGCGCTGAAAAAAAAAAACATTTCGAAGAATGCACACTTGTACTGAAGTTAACCGAATTGTGGCCATTATGGCGCGAATATTTGGCGGGAATTTACCGAAACTAAATTATCTCAGTGAGCCTTCATCTGTCAGTGGTAAGTAAACAGATTTACAGTCAAAAATGCTTCAAATATTATTGTATTATTACAGCTGAAAGGTACAACAAATCCTTGCGCTGTTTCGTAGCAATTTCAACGTTTAGCCGCATTCGATTGATACTCGATGCTTGAATTACATCGAAGAAAGTAAACAACATCAAAATAGTTCGTGTGCGGGATAGCACACGAGGCTGCTTTGCTGATTGGATATACGCKGTTTAAACATCATATATCTACATACACTATAAACTGGTGCAATACTATCTTGTAAAGATAGTCGTTAGTTYGCAATAATGTGAGTTTTTGATTTACCAAAAGTAAATCTTTTAAGCGAAATATTTCGAACAACACAGGCGGGAAACCATTCCGCTGTTGTAGAGAATTTTTTCGAGAAAGTAGATCGATTCATGCAGGCATCTTCTAAAATTTCTGAATTCGAGAGTTTTGGTGGGAATCAAGTCAATATTTATTGTCATCATCATCTACTCACACATCGAAAATGTTTTTAATACTAAGTCGAAGTCGACAGAAACACGTATCATGCAAGTTGCTCCAACGCCTCCATCGAATTTCAATGTTTGGAACAATTGATTGAACTTGATTTTTCTTGATCGCGATGTAAATGCTCTGAGCCTGAAATGCTGCAAGAGTTTAGTGTAATCGAAAAGTCATTGGTTATTTWGCGGACTAGCACTCATGCATTAAGTGTGATTTGACGATATGTGTGCTTATCCCGCACATCTTTAGCATCAAATTTCCATAGAMGATATCATTGGCTAATTTGCGTGATTGTGATTGTGACTGTGATTGGCTGATCTGCGTGTTTGACCTGCACTGATTTTCATCCATTGAAATTCTCTATTCTGATTGGTTGATCATATCATCCATTTCTAAAGTACAAATTAAAATCGGAAAGTACAGTTTTAAATCGGAACTTGTTTATTATATCAGAGACGTTCTTTAATAAGTAAAGATTAATTTGACTTTGTTGACATTTGCTATAAACACTGTTCATATTGTTCAACATTTAGTTTTTATTTTCTTTGGAAAATATGATATGTACTTAATTATGTATTCATGTTTATGGGTTTCCTGTGTTCTCACGAATAAAACCACGTGCTGGAATATGGCGTCGGTCTGTTTGCAAGACTCATAACAATGTGTACATGATATCAGAGAGAACTTTGCATTTTTTTCTACAGTCTTTGCGTTTTGACACAACATTTTAATAGTTAACGTAGATATATGTAACAACAGAAAGTCAAGCTGTCAACTAGCAAGTAGGCAAAGGTATTTGTATTAGTATCCATATATAGCAGATGTAGAAGGTTTCATATCCTGGCAAACTAAAATTCAGTGCGTCAACGTCAAGAAATAAAGAGTGTAAAAAAGAACACAGAATACTTTGATTGGAAGCTGCGTATAGCTGGAAAATTCTACTCGACACATGCTATTTTTTTTTCTTTTCAGGTTGTGCCCAATATTTTTGTCATTTGCCTAGTACAACTACCCCCCACCGTATGGCGTTTCGTTCTGGACAAAAACATGTTTNCATATCCTGGCAAACTAAAATTCAGTGCGTCAACGTCAAGAAATAAAGAGTGTAAAAAAGAACACAGAATACTTTGATTGGAAGCTGCGTATAGCTGGAAAATTCTACTCGACACATGCTATTTTTTTTAAAAATCGAGAATTAAGAATCAAGAGGAGGAAGCGTTCCGTTCCGGACAAAATTATGAAAATGTTTTTGTGGATCGAGAGGAAGTATCGCTGGCGCACAAGACTGCACTGAGCGGAAACGGAAATGGCTCGCCTGGAAACCGGAAGCTGGAAGTAACATGCTCTAAACAAAACACGTGACATAAGCACGGGACTTCCTCGCAATCATTTGCCATTTTTTCAACATGGCCAACTCAACTGCTAACATTCAAGAAATTGTCAGGGCCGTTGTCCAAGCAGTTAACAYGACAACACTAAACAATGATTACTCTACAACGCAACGTTCAAGTAGCACTATTRGACCTGCCAGACCTGCCAGTGCCACAAGCCAACAAGAACTATAYAGAGCATTCCAATTGCCACGAGGCGTTCAACAACATGCAATACAGCCTTTTTTCTTCCACTCAAAATTATAGTTCTGGGAGCAACAGATGGGGTGAAGACTCCCAAGACCACAAAGACAGGCATGAGCAAGTAATGGGCGCTTTCAACCCTACAGACAAAATCGAGCTGAAAATGAAGAAGTACAAGTATATTACAAGGATGTCTGCTTGCTGCCTTCGCCCACATGGGAAACTGWTCCACGAGGGAAAGTTAAGGTTACTTTAATACAGCTTATCCAACAGGTTGATTGGAATTTCCAGAAAGTATTTGAGAGAACAATTTAGTTATTTCCTCCCTCAAACTGTCTTTATCCCAGCTTTTGCAAAGTGGCCAAGCATCTATGTACATGCCTTTTTGTATTAAAGAGAGACATCGAGGACATATAAGGGGACCGATTTTATGTGAATTTTTCAGTAATTCTTGTCAGAAAATCTTAATATGTCCTTTCCACTAGTACCATGGATAATAAAAGCACTTTTATTATCCATGCTAGTACGCACATGCGTATATGCGTAAAGGACGCTACGCGCCTGAATTGTGCATGCAATTTACCCAATGGCAGTGTGAGAAATTCACTCATATCTCACTAAACCAATTTAATAATAATAGGAGCAATAGGGCAGTTAAGTTTTAGCTATCTAATGTAAATGTTTACGAATTGAATCACTTTTAAGTCATATGACCTCATAGAAAATGGTTTATTTTGATTTTGAATTGTTTTGCATCTACACGGTCAATTAAGTAGTCAAATAGACTGCATAAAAGGAAATGACCAAGTTAGGGATGAGTTTCTATCAAATTGATGAAATTAGAAAAGAAGGCATCGCACACAATTCTCCAGAAATTTGTGTCGTGCTCGAGAGAAGCCTGGATCAGAGAAATGTATGTGAACATCCTAAGATCTCGTGTGGTGATTGGTCGATGTTTGCTAACTCATTATAAATTCGCAAAACAATATGGCGGATATTCGAGAGAAGGAAAGCTGGAAAAGAAGTAGTAGATCAATTGGATTCTACCGGGATCTCAATAATTTGACCACGGCAGTTTCTGACAAATCGAAAAGAAGAAGGRAGGAATGTCTGAAAGGCGTATATCGTGTGGAAGATATAATAGGGAGTAGATATAATAAGGTGAGAGGCAAAAAACAAACTTAGCAGTTCTTTGCATGTAAGCTTTTACTTATGTCACTGAGCTTTGGCTCTCCTAAACTACAATAATAATAATTTTTGTCTCTGTATTTCAAATTACAGACGCTGAAACAAATGGAGTACTTAGTTAAATGGGCCGATTATGGGTCAGAATTCAATTCGTGGGAGCCTTGCAAACATATTATCGACAAGAAACTTATAAGGTTTTTAGTGTTCTCCTGTATTTTTTATTTCAGTTTACAATCGTATTTAAACTCTTCATTCAAATAAAATAATGCTAAAATGGCATAAAATAGAGTGGTTTTCTTAAACACATGAAATTTACCTACTCCAGCGTAGCAATTTTAAATATATTGTATTCGGTTTGGGTTTATCCAAAGTTTAATTAACTTAAGCTTATTAACTGATTTCGAAACATGAGTATTAAAACTAATGTAGATAAATGTAGGAGGGCATACTACAGTTGTTTTGGCATGGATTATTTATAATGTATGGTTACAAAAACTCTTAAACTATAATCATTATGACATTACTGTAATGTCCTTTAGTTTAGAACATCCCATTCATCTATCTATCTCTATATAAATAAATAAATATAAATAGAATACATATTAAATATACAGCTATTTGCAATAATTCTGACCCCCCTACACTAATATTCATATATATCAAAAGTAGCCTTAGAAATTATGGGATACCAATGCTGATATTTTTTTGAGAAAGTACTCATTCTGGGCAACTCAAAAAATATATCAGTCATGATATCCCATAATATTTAAGGTCAGTTTGATATATATGAAATATGGCAGAGGGGGTCAGAATTATTGCAAACAGCTGTAAATGTAAATGTAAATATATAAATATTGCAGGAACTATGAAAATCCCAAGATTGACAAGCAAGTAATAGAATTCCATGTGGAGCAACTGAGAAATATTGTGGAGAATGGCCTTCCTTTGTCGCTGCAAACAGATACAACGATATACTTTGAGCATAAAGTATTTAGATATATATTTACTGGGAAGGAAAATAATAGTGTGCATGGCCGCAGCATATCATTGGAAGCCAATGATTTCCCCCAGAAATATTTTCCCAAGGATTGGGATGTTGCATTTTGTAACAAACGCAAGGTTTTGAGGACAGTGCAATACCCAATTGTTATGCRTCCCTTCCTTGCAAGGTCTCGACAGCTATATGACAAGAACGGGGAAAAGAGACCCAGGAGRTSGATACAGAAATTAACTGTATCATTCAGAAAAAGAACTGTGTAAATAGGCACTAAACTAATTTGTTATATGATCTAGAATAGTTTCAATKAATATAGGTTTTCTTGCCCGCTTATTGATTGGTCCATCTGATATTCCAGATAAAATGTGTTTAAGCTGAGCAACYGTCATTGCTTGTAGCTGGTMCTTTGTAAATAAGGAATTWGTGTTTTCTGTGGGCTGTTGGTTCTCCTTGTGTTGGTCAAGGTCAGGTTCTTCATACACTGGATATTCTTGTCTTTCAGGGAGTGAAACCCTTGGGTAATTTTTCACCACTTGAGCTTTTCCTTCTTCCAAGAATGGGGTGTTTTTTCTTTCKTATTTTCTTCTACRCCTTTTTTRTGATTGAAGTAKCTCAAGTCTTTTGTCTATGACAATTAGAGACTTGCAGGCATTCCACCGGTTAATTGACCTATGGAATGCTTTGCGCATGTCATCGTTTTTCTTTTCGACTCCTAAAAAATACAAAGTGTGGTAATAGATATTTATAGATATTTATCACTAATAGTGCTACATATGCTTTGTTTTTATTTTTTCTATTAACTAGCTTGAATACATGTATGTATATTGCATTAGTTTATAGTACCTTGCCCTGTGAATTGCTTAAGATTTCCAAATCCCATTTGAGGCACGTGATAAACCATCATGWGAATATAGGGGGTTATAGGATATGTCCAGTTGTATCCTTCACTTTTCATACCAAGGAGTAGCTGGGCCCATTTCTTGGCCTTCAGTTTAATACAAAAAATACCAAAATTGATTAATGCTCCTAATGGTAAATAGTTTTATATCAAATTATCAATAGAGTACAAACACTAAAAGTGTGCAACATTTTTGTATATATTGTGTTATTAGTAGTTTTTACACTTTTAGTTTCACTTAAGTTTTGTTTATAACCATAATATGGAAATGAATATGTAATATACCTTATCATGAAAACTGTTAATGTTATCTTGATGTGGTGACAGGGATGTCAAAATGTCATAGATTTGTTCAAAGTCCTAGCAAAAATGAAAATTATACAGTATTATATATTTAGCTACATGTTACTGCTAATCAAATCATAACTCCTTCATTAAGTTACCTTCCATAGTTGAGTAACTTTCACTAGTTGAGATGGCTGGACAAAATGTTTGAACTTTGAGGGGAGATTTCTTAGGAGTTTCTTTTTGTCTCCTCCCATAAGAGAAGTCCAGTCTAACTTGTTTTCATTATTTGTCCAGACTCTAAACCCAACACCACAAGATTGTATGGCAGCCACTAAATTATCAAGATGCTTGCTCTTCTGCTGCACTTTAGGGAGACCAAAATTATCTTTCTATAAATAGAAATAAATCTTCAATTTTATATAATGTGAAATTAATGCTTCATTGTTAAAAACAATTTACTGCACATTAACATACCTCATCCCAGTCAACAGCATCATAGATAAGGCCATGCTCTAGTCTATCAGTCACTCTTAGAAGTAGATGAAGTTCAGTACTACCCGATTCAGTGGAATCTTAAASAAGGGACTGTGTCTACATCCTGGTTGGGTATGCCAATTTTCATCAAAAACCCTAGGTATCTTGCCTTCACAGAAGTTTAGTGGTTTAGTCATATCTTGTCTATGAAATACCAAAACCAACTTTTAAAGTTTTCAAGGACTCAAAGCATTTTCAAGGACTTTTCCAGGCCTGTGCGAACCATGATATGTTAGTCTAGTATACTACCTTGTAATCTCCCCCAAGAAATAGATCCAGTTTTATTTTAACTTTATCAACTTCTATGTAGCNCATGCACAATTCAGGCGCGTAGCGTCCTTTACGCATATACGCATGTGCGTACTAGCATGGATAATAAAAGTGCTTTTATTATCCATGGTACTAGTGGAAAGGACATATTAAGATTTTCTGACAAGAATTACTGAAAAATTCACATAAAATTGGTCCCCTTATATGTCCTCGATGTCTCTCAAAACGCTGGAAATCACATTTCCAAGAGTTGATATTTCAAAATTTCCATTAATACTTGGGACTTTGGCGGTCGTCAGGCCCCCAGATCCAAAATATGTGTCACGGTCATGTGCGTACTAGCCAAAAAGTGCACGCTATGCACCTGCAATTTACCCAATGGCAGTGTGAGAAATTCACTCATATCTCACTAAACCAATTTAATAATAATAGGAGCAATAGGGCAGTTAAGTTTTAGCTATCTAATGTAAATGTTTACGAATTGAATCACTTTTAAGTCATAGGACCTCATAGAAAATGGTTTATTTTGATTTTGAATTATTTTGCATCTACACGGTCAATCTGTATTTTCCATTTCTGGACATCATTTAATCATAGCTGATAGATTGAAGGTAGATGTGATCATGTGACTACTTCCTGCAAATGGTCTATAGAAGTGACTTGTCTAGTTACAATAGAGCGGATTTCGTATGACTTCAAAAACCACGGTACTTTCGCGCTGTGACCATACAGTGCCATAGTGGTGCAACATCCTTGTATAGCTAATAAACCAAATTCTATTCCTAGATTTGACTTTGTACGTAGTGTTGGCTGCAGCATAGTGCCAATAAATCTTAAGACTGGCCAGACCCTGAATGGAAAGGCCCTTAAACACATAGTTGGCACAAATCCCATATATGTCAGAACCACAAGAGACATCTGTGAGGATGTCATGGTAAGTAAATAGTTTTACAGTCCTTATTAATGTCATTCCTACAAGAAATCCTTCTTAATTTTCTATCATCATTCATTACTGAACTATAAATATATTATTACTAAATAACTTCATTGCTTTACAATCATGATTACATTATATAGGATGATGATGAGAGTACACATGGTGATATTAGGAGCTTTGCCATCCCAATTGATAGACCACAGAGTTCAAACTCCAGTAGCTCTGACACTAGTAGTTATGTACCAGTTACCCCAACTGCATCTAGCACACAAAGTTGTACCTCTAGCAGTACACTTGTCAACCACAGTGTTCAAAGTTCTATCTCCACTAGTACAACTCCTGTGACTTGCATACAAAGTTCTCCCTGTAGTGGTACAACCCAAGTTACTCCTGAAGCCTTTACAGAAAACACCAGGTCAATCCTAAAAGATCAGCTTATGAATATATGTCCAAATAATGACAAATCTGCTCTAGAAGAAATAGCTCAGCAAAGTAGTAACATTGCAGAAGCTGTAGAAAAAGTTCTGGATGGTGACAGAAAATTAGGTTAGCATCATTCATATGGCACTACTATATGCCCTAAATGAACTCCAGTATCCTTGCAGTCTTGCAGAATTTGGAATTTGACAACATATTTGAATATTTTTACAGATGGAGTTGGTGCTGAGGATCAAAATGCAGATGATGATGATTACTTATTTAGGTCTACCTTTGACATAGGTAAGTAATTTGGCTTTTAGTAGGGGTCATGGGTACACAGCGACACCCCATTTCAATATCATACATTGTAAGATTACATATATAATGCACTGTGTAGATTACTATATTAAAAAACTTTTAAAGATTATGTTATGAAATGGAAAATCATTTAAATCGCACTGCAATTATTAATATATTCATTTACATTTTAGTAAATCACCCTTTTCTCAATGATGAAATGAGCACAGGTACGTTTTTTTTTGATACTATAATTCTTATGTATAACACACTTTAGTTTTTGTATATGTGTAAGAATATCTCCTTCAATGACTCAAACACTTCCAGCTACTTGGAAGAAAAAAAAGTTAATAAGATACTTTAAAATTGATGTTGAACATTTACATGAAACTCTTACCTAGAATACTCTGAACAATAAATTTCTGCTTTTTCTTAATTTCAGTTGATAGACTGCTGTACTTACATAAAGCAGCTAGGGTAGATATAACCAAACGCCAAGAAATCTCCTTTGACAGACAAAACTCAAAACAGATTCTGAGAGAACTCTTCAAAAAATTTAAACGGTCAGAAATCGATGTAAGGAAAGTCCCAGATATCAATTTTATTGAAGAGGATGGCATTGATGCAGTTGGTTTGACAAAAGAGTTTTTCAATATTGTTATGGTAGCATTAACAAGTGGTACTGGTGGTTATGAGCTATTTGAAGGATCAAGTGATCACATTTTACCCGTGGTCAATGAAGAATTTTACCAAAGCGGATTCTACAAATACACAGGACAGCTGATAGGCATGTCAGTAATTCACGGTGGTATTGGAATTGTGGGTTTATCCAGGGCACTGTCTTCCTTCCTTGTAACAGACGATATGAATGTTGCAGCATGCCACCTGACTATTGAAGATATTCCTGATTTCTCAATTCAAGAGATTCTACAAGAGGTAATACTAAGGAACTAGATGCTCTTGGAGTCGTGAAGTCGTACATCTATACGATTGAGCTTCCGGTCATATAATAACACAGCCAACCCAATAGTTAATTATTAAATTCTTAACTTTGAGTGGTCCAAATGCGGCATGACACATAGTTAGACTACAAGGTACAAGTGAAGTCGACCTAGCCTTCTGCTAGTCCGACTACAGTAATTAGCTGCCAGAAATCTCTTTATTTTAAAAGTCTTACTACTTTATTTACAAAGTAATTTCTGATTGAAAATAGAGAGTTTTGTGTTTGTCTCACCCTAGCCTTCTTCACAGGGAACTCTACTCTTGGGGTTCCTGTGTTAAATCAAAAAAAGCTGCTGGAGGGGGAGGGGGCTAGGAAGGAAGGTAAAGCAGGAGGAGTTGCCTACTCCTCTTATTCGTTGTTCCTAATCTCTCGACACCAGTTCTACTTGTCTAGGTTTTTTGATATATCAAAAAAGAAAAAAAAAAACAATCAATTTCAACTAAAACGGTTTATTGCTCCAATGGTAAAGCATGTTCAAACATCGGCTGCAAGGCTCTACCTGTAGTCAACATCCACACTAAGCAGATTTTGAAGAAAGCTGACGTCATATTATAAAAAGCCCATTTCAATAAGAATTACATGTACAACTAATTCTTAATTAATTAATTTCTCTGCAGATTCAAGTGGCAGATAGGGAGACTCTTCAGAAGATGATGGGACGTGCAGAAGTCTCAATGCTGCTCTACCAGGCAGGATTTGGGAATCAGATGCTCACCCCAGAAACAAAGAGAAAAGCTATCCAGTGTGTGTTGTTCCATGAAGTCTTAAAAAGGCAAAGAGACCAAATTGCTAGTTTGAGAGAGGGTCTAAATACTGTTGTTGGCTTGGCGGATTTCTTAAAGGCAAATCCGTCTTGCTTGTGTCTTGTCTTTCCATTGCAGGTTGAAGTTGCCATCACCAAAGACTGTGTTCTAGAGCACTTAGAACATGATCCTGTTAGCTCCTTAACAGCAGCAGAGTGCCAAACTGTCACATGGTTCAACAATTATGTGCATTGGCTTGGTGAAGGTAAAAATGCATTATAGAGTTCCTTCCACAAAAACTATTTTGTTCACATTTGCTTTGCCTTTTCCCCATATTAATTACAGATGGGGATGTTTCTAAGGATGAACTAACACAGATAAATTGTAAGCCAACCATGAAGGATTTGATGAAGTTCATATGTGGATATCCACATATATCATCAATAGGTAAAACCATCATCAAGTTCACAAGTGGAAGACTACCTGACCCTGATTCTTTTCCTGTGCATTTGGCACGCTTGATTTTGACAAAGTTGAGCCACTTCTTCCGTCTTTTTCTTGCTTCGGGTCGTCGTAACTTGACGGTCGATTCCCTTCAAAATATCTGGCCTGTTACTGCAGCCACCAACAACGCACTTGATGGGCATTTCATTCGCGAAAGAGCATAAAAATCGATGTTAAATAAGATTTTTGGAGTTGACTCGCGATAAAATCCACTGCCAAGTTTCGATAACAACAAATTGCCTTGTCCTGGCATGACGTCGGAGTCAGTCCCAGTCTTTCCCGGTATTGAACCAAAAAAAAGAGCTCAAAGTGGACATTTTCGTATGTTTGTAAGCTCACCAAAAATTCGCTTTTTGATAAAAATGAAAAATTCTTCCACAGATACGTTTCCATTAACCTCAATTTTCATTTTAAAGATTAAAAAAAATCGTGAAGGTGCACTTTAAGTAGATTTTAAGGGGGTCTATGATATCTTTGATGGAAACTGTTTTGTGTTCATATCTCTAAACTTGCAATAAAAATGACTTTTGTTAATAACATGAGTATGAGTACATACATGTAGTTACACAATTATAATTTTAACTAGACGCTCTGGGAGCGTGAAGTCGGACTAGCTGCTTGTGAAAATTGAGAGTTAGTTAGTTAGGCGGATGACTCCGAGATTTGACAATGGCACTCCAAACGACCCTGTCTTCCATCAACGTAGCCAGCTCGTGTGAGCTGATTGCCCCTGTGTCGCGCTTGAGGGAGTCTACATAATTCGATTGAGGTCTTCCTCTGGACCGCGTTCCGTGAGTTGGTTCCCACAGGATCAATTTTTGGGTGCTTAGTTCAGGATGGCGGTAGCAGTGTCCTGCCAGACGTAGTCTGCGCTCAGCAATCTTCACATCCAGCCTTGGTAACTCTCCGTACACTTCATCATTAGTAGTGCGGGAGCTCCAGTGCACATTCAGGGCTTTCCTCAGCATACGGGTATAGGCACCACTGAGTGATTTCACCATAGACTCCGTCATGGACCAGCTTTCACATCCATACAGCAAGATTGACTCGACTGTGGCAACAAAGAATCGTTTTTTCAAAACTGGGTTCATAGTGGACTTCCAGATGTTGCTCATGTCGTTGAGGGCTTTCCAGGC